GTGAGAATTTTTGCCTCCATCTTCATCAAGGATATTGGTCTGTAATTTTCCTTTTTGATGGGTTCTTATCTGGTTTTGTGATCAAGGTAATGCTGGCCTCATAGAATGAGTTTGGAAGTTTTTGTTCCATTTCTATTTTTTGAAACAGTTTCAGAGAATAGGTATTAGTTCTTCTTTAAATGTTTGGTAGAATTCTGCTGGGAGGCCATCCAGCCCTGGACTCTTGTTTCTTGGGAGATCTTTGATTACTGTTTCAATTTCTTTGCTGGTTATGGGTCTGTTCAGATTTTCTATTTCTTCCTGTTTCAGTTTTGGTAGTTTATATGGTTCTAGGAATGCATCCATTTCTTCCCGATTGTCTAATTTGTTGACATATAATTCTTCATAATATTCTCTTATAATTGTATTTCTTTGATGTTGATTTTGATCTCCTGTTTCATTCATGATTTTATTAATTTGGGTCCTTCCTCTTTTCTTTTTGATAAGTCTTTCTAGGGGTTTATCAATCCTATTAATTCTTTCAAAGAACCAGCTCCTAGTTTTGTTGATCTGTTCTACTGTTGTTGTTTTTTTTATTTCTATATCATTGATTTCTGCTCTGTTCTTTATTATTTCCCTTTTCCTTCTGGATTTAGGCTTTATTTGCTGTTCTTTTTCCAGCTCCTTTAGCTATAAGGCTAGGTTGTGTATTTGAGACTTTTATTATTTCTTGAGAAAGGCCTGTATTGCTATATATGTCCCTCTTAGGACTGCCTTTGCTGCATCCCAAAGGTTCTGAACTGTCATGTTTTCATTTTCATTTGCTTCCATGTGTTTTTTAAAATTCTTCTTGCGGTGCCTGGTTTGCTCAGTCAGTTAAGCATCTGCCTTTGGCTCAGGTCATGATTGATACCAGGGTCCTGGGATTGAGCCCAGCATTGGCCTCTCTGCTCTGAGGGAGCCCGCTTCTCCCTCTCCCTCTGCCTGCCACTCCCGCTGCTTGTGCTCCCTCGCTCTCTGTCAAATAAGTAAATAAAATATTTAAAAATAAATAAATAAATTCTTCTTTAGTTTTCTGGCTGACCCACTCATTCTTTGGTAGGATGTTCGCTAACCTCCATGTATTTTTGGTCTTTCCAAATTTTTTCTTGTAGTTGACTTCACGTTTTAAAGCACTGTGGTCTGAAAATATGCATGGAATAATCTCAATCATTTTTGTACTGGTTGAGACCTGATTTGTGACCCAGTATGTGATCTATTCTGGAGAATGTTCCATGTGCACTAGAGAAGAATGTGTATTCTGCTGCTTTGGGATGAAATGCTCTGACTATATCTTTTAAGTCTTTCTGGTCCAGTGTGTCATTCAAAGCCCTTGTTTCCTTGTTGATCTTCTGTTTAGATGATCTGTCCATTGATGTCAGTAGGGTGTTAAAGTATCCTACTATTATTGTATTATTATCAATGTGTTTCTTTAATTTTGTTATTAATTGGTTTATATATTTGTCTGCTCCCATGTTAGGGTCATAAATATTTACAATTGTTTGATCTTCTTGTTGGATAGCACTTTTATTATGATATAATGTTCTTCTCATCTCTTATTACAATCTTTGGTTTAAAATCTAGTTTGTCTGATATAAGGATGGCTACTCCAGCTTTCTTCTGATGTCCATTTGCATGATAAATTGTTCTCCACCCCTTCACTTTCAATCTGGTGGTGTCTTTGGGTCTAAAATGTATTTCTTGTAAGCAGCATATCCATGGGTCTTTTTTTTTTAAATCCATTTTGATACCCTATATCTTTTGATTGGAGCATTTAGTCCATTTACATTCAGAATAATTATTGAAAGATATGAAATTAGTGCCATTGTATTACCTTTAAGGTCGCTGTTCCTGTAGATTGTCTCTGTTCCTTTCCGATCTTTATGTTTGGGCTCTCTCTTCGCTGATAGGATCCCCTTTAATATTTCTTCTGGGGCTGGTTTGGTGTTCACTAATTCCTTTAGTTTTTGTTTGTCCTGGAAACTCTTTATCTCTTCTTATATTCTGAATGCCAGTTTTGCTGGATACAATATTTTGGTTGCATATTTTTCCCATTTATCACATCAAATATATCATGCCAGTCCTTTCTGGCCTGCCAGGTCTCTATGGACAGGATTGCTGTCAGCTTTATGTGTCTACCCTTGTAGGTTAAGGATCTCTTATCCCAAGCTACTTTCAGGATTTTCTCTCTCTCTCTTTTTTTTTTTTTTTTTGGAAATTTGGAGGTTTTATTATATGTGGGATGTTTTTATTGATTTTGAGGGGGGCTCTTTGTGCCCTCTGGACTTGAATGTCTGTTTCATCTCCCAGACTAGGGAAGCTCTCAGCTATAATTTATTCAAATAAAACTTCTGTCCCTTTCTTCTGCTCTTCATCTTCTGGGACTCTTATTACCTGGATATTATTTCACTTTATGGAATTGCTGAGTTCTCAAAGTCTCCCTTCATGATCCAGTTGTTGTCTTTCTTCTTTTCAGCTTCTTTATTTTCCATCATTTTGTCTTTTATATTTATGACACTCTCTTCTACCTCATTTATCCTTGCTGTAAAGCCTCAATTTATGACTGTATCTCAGTAATAGCATTTTTAATTTTGACCCCATTAGATTTTAGTTCTTTTATTTCTATAACAAGGGATTCTCTAGTATCTTCTATGCATTTTCCAAGCCTAGCTACTATCTTTATAATCATTATTTTAAATTCTAGTTAAAGATATATTACTTATATCCCTTTTGATTAAATCTTTGGCAGTATTACCTCCTGTTCTTTTTTTTGGGGGAGGGGGTGAATTTCTCTGTCTAATCATTGTGTCCAGAAAAGAAAGGAGGATAGAAAAAAAAAAAAGAACCAGCAAAAACAGAAATAACGACAACAGCGACAGTGACAACAACAACAACAAAACCTTCAGGAAGTGCTTCTGGTGTATGTTCTGTACAGTGTGCTGTTGTGTTTTGCCTGCTCTTTCCCACTGGTCCTTCCTCTACAGAGTTCCTTCTTCCTTGTAGTGGGGAATGTTTGCACCTTTATGAAGGTGTGCTTTGATTTGCTTGTCAAGATAAGTCTCACATGTGCCACATTCCCTCCCTCCAACTGTGTAGATTGTTTCCTTAATCCTCAGATCATCTTCCTCATTGTTTAAAGTAGTTGAATGTTGGTCTAGTTGTATTTGAAGGACAAGGCAATTTCATGGTCCCCCTACTGCTCCGCCAGCTTAACTCCACCACTCTGCTTGCTTTTCTATATAATCTGTCTCACCACATTAGGACTATTTTCCATGCCCTGCTTGACCCAGACCCACATTCCCCATACTCTTGAGCATGCCAACACTTAGAAAGAGGGTCTGACTATACTCCCTTTTCTTGAAGTCTAGATGTCTTTGGATACAGCAATTGCCTTGTCAAAATTCTAAGGTATAGAGACTGTAGGAAATATTCATAGATGGAGAGAATGGAGGCACAAAGAAATGAAGTAAATTACCCAAGATACAAAGCAAGTAAGTGGAAGAGCTCAGGACTTCTAATTTCTAATGTAGATATTTGAGGCTAGAATACTATTGTTAACAGTCATAAGATTATTATTATTATAATGTCGTTTAAAATGTGTTTATTATTATACCACTATAATTAATTATATAATTATGATAATATTGTTAACAGTAGAAATAAGAGTAATGTTAATTATAGAAGCTACTATTTCTTGAGTGTTTACTCTGTGCCATATATTGGGCTATGGGCTTTATAAACATCATCTCATTGGATCCCCCAACGAATTTCTGAGTCTGGTATAATCACACATTTTAGACATAATAAAACAGGCTTAGTGGGGTAAATCACGTTGTTCTAGGTATATTACTAGTAAGTAGAATTGCCAGAATTTCAGTCTATTTTCAATCTGATTATAAAGCTCATATTGTTCCCCACAACACTGTATAGCTCATATATATATCTAAAATACAAACAGATTAGAAAAAATAATTTTAATAGAATTATAAGTGAATAATGGGAAGTCTTAAATTTAGGTTAATAACACCACCAAGAAAAAAGAATTGATCTAAAAGCAAGCTGTGGTTTGACAAAAACTCACAAGAAATAGATATTGGAATAGCTTTGGTTGTCCACAAAGCTCAATAGGACCTGTACTGTGATGCAGCTAAAGTACCATCTTCTACAATAGTTTGTTGCAGTATTAGAATAGTGTCCACAGTAAGGGAAGTGAAAATCTTGAGTCTTGGGCTCAGGTTCTGGGCTGTTCAGAAGAGAACTACCAGAATGGGGAAGGAAAAGAAACAAGAGAAAGAAGTGGCCATGTCAATTCTGGAGATTAACAGATTCATGAGGAATCATGTCCACCCTCTCCAACTCTCTGAAAGCCTGTCCTGGAAAGGAGGGAGCAGGCTTTTCTTTCTTGTGTTGCCAGAGAAAGAACACTGAGATTAGTCAGTGGGCTAGGAGTTAGAGGAAGGCAGGTTTCAGTTCAGAAGATAAGATTTTCTAATTAAAAACTGTTCTTACCATGGAGTAGATTACCTGTTCTTCAGTGGAAATGTTTAAGCAGAGGCTAGAGGAGAACTTTTATTTTTTTTAAAGATTTTATTTATTTATTTTACAAGATAGCAATAGAGGGAACACAAGCAGGGGGAGTGGGAGAGGGAGAAGCAGGCTTCCCACTGAGCAGGGATCCCAACAGGGGGCTCAATCCCAGGACTCTGGGATCATGACCTGAACCGACAGCAAATGCTTAACAACTGAGCCATACAGGCACCCCTAGAGCAGAACTTTTAGAAGTGTTATACTGGAGATTTCTATTCCTGTGAAAACTGGGATGGGGTAATTACTAGGTAGAACCATCCCATATTGACATTCTCTGTGTTTACTTTAAAGGGACCATTTTGAGTGCTCCTCCTCATAAGTCAAATTTGGTGATCTCATCATATATGCTCTAAATGTCTTCCAGTGGCAACTGTTCTCATCTTCTCTCTCCCCAGGTGTCACCACTGTTCTCACCATGACCACCTTGAGTATCAGTGCCAGAAACTCCTTACCTAAAGTGGCATATGCGACGGCCATGGATTGGTTCATAGCCGTCTGTTATGCCTTTGTATTTTCTGCGCTGATTGAATTTGCCACTGTTAACTACTTCACCAAGCGGAGTTGGGCTTGGGAAGGCAAGAAGGTGCCAGAGGCCCTGGAGATGAAGGTGAGATATAGCAATGGTGGGGGCTGGGAAGCACTCCCTGAGAGAACTGTATTGGAACCAGGAGTGGGCAGCCTGCAGCCTGTGGGAACTGGCCAAGGCTGTGTGCTATTCACTGGGGTCATCAATCCAATTCTCAACTGGAGTGCTTCTTGGCAATGTGGAGTGTTTGCTGGGGGCAAAGAAAAGAGGTATCATGGAGGGTTGATGTCTTGTGATGAGAGACTGACCCTAAGTATGATACTGCTAGAATCAAGGGGAACACATTGTACTTATAAAGCCACCCAGAAAAGTGCACAGTCTCTAGGGCCAACTCTGCCCTTCACTTTTCAGTATATTCCCACTACATTCAAACTAAAGAGATATTCCTTCTGTGTCTCTGCTTAATTTTTTATGCTCTACCTAGATTATTCTTTTCTTTTTTTCCTGCCTGGTAAAGATCTACTCATTCTTTTTTTTTCCAACTCATTCTTCAAAGACACAGTTTAAATGCTATTTTCTCTATAGAACCTTTCCAAGAATCATCCAGATAGTTTTAGCTTTTCTTCTGGTAGGAGGAGGGTGCTCCTACTATTAAAATCCTACATTTGTATTAGAGTTGTTTATCTGCCTCATCAGACTGAACATTTTGAGGGCAGGGGCTTGTCTGCATCATCTTTCTAACTAGCCAGTATTCTTGCACAGCACCTGATTCATGGTAAAAGCTGAATAAATGTTAGTTGGATTGGTGGAGAGATGGGAAGGAGGAAAAAAAGCCAATAAACCAACCAGAGTTGGTAGGAATAAAACATAAATGCTGTGAAATCAAGATTATTGTCCTTGGCTGCTTTAAAAGAGTTCAGATCTCTAGATCTAGATGAAGACCTATCCAAAGATGCTAAAAAGAACTGGCAGATGTGGTCCCAGAACTATTCCAGTACTATGAAGAATCATGGAGAAGAGAAAAGATAATGAAGATTTTTCAAACTGGAGGAAAAGATATATTTCATAGAATACAGCCTGGTGAGTTGGCAAAATTTTAGAATAGATTTTCACTGTTTAGATAGAATTTATTAAGTCCTTGCTATAAATTATGAAGAAATAAGCATGTTTCTACTAACTATACTCTATCATAGGAAATTTTGGGGTGGTTTTATTATTATACTTAGTGTAGTTGTTACCTTTTTATTCTTAAAATATATTGATCCATCTAATACTTGATTTGTCATCTATGAACAAGGCCTATTGACCCATCACACACTACAAAACAAGAAAATTTGTATACTTATCTTACCTCTCACCTTCTCTGTCCTTGTCACTTCCTAACTTTTGTTTTTTATAATGCTATTTCTGCATTGTCAAACTACTTCCGCACTGTCAAGGTTTATAGCATTTACATGCTTTTATGCAGTCATAATTCCTATAGTTGATTAGTCATATTTCTACATTTAAATGGATAAAAGGACTATTTTGAGAAGATAGCCCATTTTTCCATTTATTGCTTAGTTACCTCAAGGCTATCATCTAAAAGATTTTTTAAGGCTCATGGGAACCATATTTCCTACTATATTGCATGTATAAAATTATCTGTCAATTGTTTATACTTGAATTGTAGTTGTGCTGTTGTATAATTCATAGGTCCCATTCTCTCTCTGATGTCCATGTAGACATTAATTGCTATACTCAATTCTATCACTGATTGTTTCTATGAAGAATTTTTTAAAGATTTTATTTATTTATTTGAGAGAGAGAGAGAGCATGGGGGAGAGTCAGAGGGAGAAGGAGAAGCAGGCTCCCTGCTGAGCATGGAGCATGCATCAATACCAGAACCCTGAGATCATGACCAGAGCCGAAGCAAGATGCTTAACCAACTGAGCCACCCAGGCGCCCTTTTAATGAAGACTTGATTTTATGGCCTAGAAGCCCATACAAATGTATATTTTATTTACAAATTCCAGTTACTTTATAAGGATATATCTTGATCTGTCTGTATGAATTTTTTCCTAGGACACCATGTGGGGTTTTTTCCAAGTTTTTATTTAAATTCCAGTTAATTAACTATAGTGTAATATTAGTTTCAGGTGTACAATTTAGTGATTCATCACTTACATACAATACCCAGTGCTCATCACAAGTGTCCTCCTTAATACCCATCACCCATCTAACCCACCTCCCTTCCCACCTCCCCTCCAATAACCATCAGTCTGTTCTCTATAGTTAAGAATCTGTTTTATGGTTTGCCTCTCTCCCCACCCTGTGTTCATTTGTTTTGTTTCTTACATTCCACATATGAGTTAAATCATGGTATTTGTCTTTCTCTGACTGCCTAATTTCACTTAGCATAATACTCTCCAGCTCCATCCACGTCATTGCAAACGTCAAGATTTTGTTCTTTTTATGGCTCAGTAATCCAGTATATATATCAAAACTTCTTTTTTTAAACTTATTTTATTTAAATTCAATTAGTTAACATATAGCGTATCATTAGTTTCTAATGTAGAGTTCAGTTATTCATCTGTTGCATATAATACCCGGTGCTCATTATATCACATGCCTTCCTTAATGCCCATCACCCAGTTACCGGATCCCCCCACCCTCATCCCCCCTTGCAACCCTCACTTTGCTTCCTTAGTTCAGAGTCTCTTATGGTTTGTCTCCCTCTCTGATTTTGCCTCATTTTATTTTTCCCTCCCTTCCCCTATGATCCTCTGGTTTGTTTCTTAAATTCCACATATGAGTGAAACCATATGATAATTGTCTTTCTCTATTGACTTATTTCTCTTAGCATAATACTGTCCAGCTGCATCCACATCATTGCAAATGTCAAGATTTTGTTATTTTTATGGCTCAGTAATATTCCATTTTATATCTATACCACAACTTCTTTATCCATTCATAAGTTGATGGGCATTTGGGTTCTTTCCATAATTTGGCTATTATGGACATTGCTGCTATAAACATTGGGGGTGCATATATGCCTTACAATCAGTATTTTTGTATCCTTTGCATAAATACCTAGTAGTGCAGTTGCTGGATCATAGGGTAGTTCTCTTTTAAATTTTTGGGGTACCTCCATGCTGTTTTCCACAGTGGCTGCACCAGTTTGCATTCCCACGAATAGTGTGAGAGAGTTCCCTTTTCTCCCCATCCTCTCCAACATCTGTTGTTTCCTGCTTTGTTAATTTTAGCTATTCTGACAGGAGTGAGGTTAATTTTAGCTATTCTGACAGGACATTGTGGTTTTGATTATATTTCCCTGATGATGAGTGATGCTGAGCATCTTTTCATGTGTCTGTTAGCCATCTGGATGTCTTCTTTGGAAAAGTGTCTATTCATGTCTTCTGCCCATTTCTTAACTGGATTGTTTGTTTTGGGAGTGTTGGGTTTGATAAGTTCTTTATAGATTTTGGATACTAACCCTTTATCTGATATGTCATTTGCAAATATCTTCTCCCATTCCATAAGCTGCCTTTTAGTTGTGTTGATTGTTTCCTTCACTGTGCAGAAGCTATTTTGAAGTCCCAATAGTTCATCTTTGCTTTTGTTTCCCTTGCCTCAGGAGACATATTTAATAAGAAGTTGCTGTGGCCTAGGTCAAAAAGGTTGCTGCCTGTGTTCTCCTCTAGGAGTTTGATGGTTTCCTGTCTCACATTTAGGTCTTTCATCCATTTTGAATTTATTTTTATGTATGGTATAAGAAAGTGGTCCAGTTTCATTTTCCTTCTGCATGTTGTTGTCCAGTTTTCCCAACACCATTTGTTAAAGAGACTGTCCTTTTTCCATTGGGTATTCTTTCCTGCTTTGTCAAAGATTAGTTGGCCATATAGTTTGCAGGTTCATTTCTGGGTTTTCTATTCTGTTCCATTGATCTAAGTGTCTTTTTGTGCCAGTACCATACTATCTTGATGACTAAAGCTTTGTAGTATAGTTTGAAGTCTGAAATTGTGATGCCTCCAGCTTTGCTTTTCTTTTTTAAGATTGCTTTGGCTATTTGAGGGTCTTTTATGGTTCCATACAAATTTTAGGATTGTTTGTTCTAGCTCTGTGAAAAACACTGATGGTATTTTGATAGGGATTGCTTTAAATGAGTAGATTGCTTTGGGTATTTTAACAATATTTGTTAAATACAAAATTTAGGATGGTTTGTTCTAGTGCTGTGATAAATACTGTTGGTATTTTGATAGGGATGGCATGAAATGTGTAGATGGCTTTGTATGGTATAGAACTTTTAACAATTTTGTTCTTCCAATCCATGAGCATGTAATGTTTTTCCATTTCTTTGTGTCATCTTCAATTTTTTTCCTCAGTGTTTTATAGTTCTCAGAGTATAGATCTTTTACCTCTTTGGTTAGGTTTATTCCTAGGTATCTTATGGTTTTGGATACAATTGTAAATGAGATCAATTCCTTGATTTCTCTTCATCTTCATTGCTGCTTCATTATTGGTGTATAGAAGTGCAACAGATTTTATATATTGATTTTGTATCCTACATCTTTACTGAATTTGTGTATCAGTTCTAGTGATATTTTTGGTGGAGGCTTCGGGTTTTCTATAGAGTATCATGCCATCTACAAGTAGTGAAAATTTGATTTCTTCCTTGCTGATTTGGATGACTTTTGTTTCTTTTTGTTGTCTGAATGCTGAGGCTAGACGTCCAGTACTATGTTAAATAACAGTGGTGAGAGTGGACATCCTTGTCTTGTTCCTGACCATAGAGGAAAAGCTCTCAGTTTTTCCCCATTGAGGATGATTGTCACTGTGAATTTTTCATATGTGGCCTTTATTAATGTTGAGGTATGTTCCCTCTATCTCTACTTTGTTCAGGGTTTTTATCATGAATTGATGTTGTACCTTGTCAAATGCTTTTTCTGCATCTATTGAAAGAAATATATGGTTCTTATCCTTTCTTTTATTAATGTGTTGTATCACATTGATTGGTTTGCAATATTAAACCAGCCTTACAGCACCAGAATAAATCCCACTTGATCGTGGTGAATGATCCTTTTAATGTACTGTTGCTAGTA